GCAACTGCTCCTTCAACTCTTTCAACTCAGGCGGGGCCATGCGATATGGCGGAATAGAAATGGGCTGAGTGCCCGGAGCCAGGTCAATGCAAAAATCAATATCCCTGTCGGGTGGCATACCCGGCAGGTCTGAAGGAAAAACCTCAGGAAACTCATGAACTACAGGCACAGAATCAATGGAAGGAACCTCGACACTGGAATCACGAACGTATGCCAATATAGGCCAAAAACCCCTTCTCGACCATCCGCCGAGCCTTCATATATGATATAACACTACGGGTTGAATGATCAGGAGTCACTCTCCACTATAAACCCGGTAGGGCTAAGGTCACAGTCTTGGCATGACAATCCAAGATGGTGTGGTAAGGTGACAACCAGTCCATCCCCAGTATGATATCAAAATCGACCATGTCCAGCAATAATAAGTCTACTTGGGTCTCAAGACCCTCTATCACAACCATGCAATAACGATGAACACGATCTACCACAATAGAATCACCCATGGGGGTGGACACATAAACAGGAATACTTAGAGAATCACTGGGTACGACCAGATACGGCGCAAAATAAGATGACACATAAGAGTAGGTAGACCCTGGATCAAATAGAAGCACCCCTACTACAAACCAAAACCGTACTTGTGATAACTGCATCGGAAGCCTCAGCCTCCGACCTAGTTGGAAGAGCATAAAATCGGGGCTGGGCCCCACCACCCTGGACTACATCTCTGGGCTAGCCTGCTGCTGGCTGGCCTCCACCTCTAGCGGCCTGAGCTCCACCTCTAGCACCTCTACCTCCACCTCTAGCACCTCTATCCCTACCTCTGGCTGGCTGGGCGGGCTGTGGAACACCTGGTGCCTGAACCATAGCACGGGAACCCTGCTGCTGCGACTGAGAACCCACTAACCTCGGACAAGCCCTCCGGATATGACCATACTCACCACACTCAAAGCATCCACCTGAGTGCTGCGGCTGAGGAAACTGAGACTAACCTTGACGACCTGAATGACCACCCCAAAAACTCTGGAGCGGTGGTGCACTGATAGGAGCTGGTGGTGCACT